ATATTATAATATATTATAATATAATATATTATAATATATTATAATATAATATATTATAATATACAATTTATAATATACTCAAATATACAAAAAGTTAGTGTTGATTTCGTCAAAAATTGTCCAACTTTCATTTGTACGTGTAAAGTAGTAAAAAAATTTTATAATTCAATATGAAGAAATAGAAAATTTTGACGATACGATCGATTAAAATTAAATGCAAAAATAGTATTAAAATCAATTTCTTCTCTATACAAGAATAATTCTTCCTCTACTTCATCCCCGTTTTCTTTTTTTTTTTACTACGTCCATCAAATCCGAGTAATTACAGGTGATTAACCACTAGGCAGATTTAGATTTGTTAATTGATCGTCTAACGCGTGAGAAAGCTGGTTTGAAATCGGATTGCTGGTTCCTCAAAGGGCCATCCCCACGGGGTTTCCGAAGGGCTGTTATTTCTTCGACCAAGGGGGATGATGCGTTTCATTATTGCCCCGTACTTAATTACACCGTTCTCCAACCGACACATTTTTCTCTCCTTCTTCGTCTCCACGTACGACAAAAGCGCGTGTGGCCGTACACGATTCCTCCTCCAAAGGGATCGAGGAATCGGTTGAAACTCGTTTCCCTCATTTCCGTGGATACCGTTAACAAATAATATTTCTCTCTGGATTCGAACAAGTTATTTCGTGAACTAAGTCTCTAAGAAATATTTCCATCTCGAAAATGTGTCACGAATGAAAAAAGAAAGAAAGAAAAAAAAAAGTTTTAACATTCTTTTTTATAAACGAAGGGAGAGCGATGGAAACGAAGAAATCTTTGCATCGTTTAAATTTTCGATCGACAAAAATCGATTAAATATCGAACTGGTTGCTTAATTGAAAGTTCGAAGTTATAAAGAAAGATTTGTTATATAAGTTCTCGTTTCAAGATGTAAGAGAACAATTGAAAACACTTTTATCGAACGAAAGGGAAAAATTTCCTCCGGTATCGTCGAATTGATTTCAAATTTTCACCTACGTTTCTTTCGCCTATGTTTCCTTCAAATCTCCAAAAAGAAAACAAAAAAATTATCGAATTTTCTTACTTCTTGAAGAGAAGTAAGAAAGAAGAAAGAAGAGAAGAAAGAATTTTCAAAATTTTCAAAAAGAGAGAGAGAGAGAAACGTGATAATTATTACCAGCCACAAAAAAAAAAGAAGCAAAACGAAAAAAAACGTGATGGAAATGGAAGCCAAAGTTCGTAACGTAAGCGTAATTGGACTGTGTATTTTTCACACCGAGACGTTTCGGCGTCGTTCAGAAAGAAACAGAAAGAGGAAGGAATGAAAAGAAAGAGACAGAGAGAGAGAGAGAGAGGGAAAAAAAACAAGCCAGGGGAAAAGTGCGTCATGGATTTGGGTCAAGAGTGGTCGTCGTGGAATCAAGCGAGCCGAGCCAAAACCGCGAACGTGCCAAGAAAAGTTGCCTCGCGGCGATAACTCGGCCAGGAGCAAAAGGAAGCAACAGGAAGTCGACGAGGAGTGGAATGTGCCACGCTTACGGTGGAAGTTAATGAATTAAGCCGAGGAAAAATTTCACCCTCCCTTTTGTTGTTCACCGCGCCAACCGTTTTAAAACAGTGTCCACAAACAGTTGTTTACACCCGGATAAAATACCGTCATGTATAATTCAACCACATTTCTGATCTATCTCTGATCCGGGATCTCTGAAAAAGAACGATATATCCGATGATGTTTCAACGGAGAGTTCGTTTATATATTATTAATTCGGAGGAGAGGGGAAAGAAATTAATTCTTCTCACGAGGATTTGATCTTTCGACGAGGAACAACGAACAACGGGTTGAAGGGGACGAACGATTTAGAAGAGGAAGATGCAACGAG